ACTCTTGTGTGAAAAAATTTCCCTGCACTTCTCCCCTAAACTTTCTCCCTTTCACCTTGAACCTGTGCCCTCTGGTAGTTGACCTTTCAACTCAGGGAAAAAGCCTCTGACTATCCACTCTATCTATGCCTCTCATCATTTTGTAGATCTCTATCAGGTCACCCCTCAGCCTTCATCATTCCAGTGAAAACAATCCAAATTTATCCAACCTCTCCACATAATTAAAACCCTCCAGACCAAACAACATCCTGGTAAACCTTCCCTGCATTCTCTCCAAAGCATCCACAGCCTTCCGGTCATGTGGTGACCAGAACTGCATGCAATATTCCAAATTTGGCCTAACTAAAAGTTTTATACAGCTGTAACATAACTGATCAAAGTCTTTATTCGATGCTCCAGCCGATGAAAGCAAGAAGGTATGCTTTCTTGACTGCCTCATCCACCTGCGTTGCCATTTTCAGGGATATGTGGACCTGTACTCCCAGATTCCTCTGCATGTCAATGCTCCTAAAGGTTCTGCCATTTACTGTATAATTTGCACCTGAATTTGATCTTCCAAAATGCATCACTTCACATTTGTCCAGATTAAACTCCATCTGCCATTTCTATGCCCAAATCTGCAATCTATCTATATCCCACAGTATCCTTTGACAATCCTCCTCACTATCCACAACTCCACCAATTTTGGTGTCATCTGTAAACTTACTAATTGGACCACCCACATTTTCCTCCAGATCATTTATTTGAATTACAAACAATGTACAGTATTGTAGTAATATGTCCTGGATGCAACAAGGCAACAAGCAATATTGGATTTAGTAATGAGTAATGAGCCATATTTAAGTAGTGACCTAATTGTGCACAAACATTTATCAAATAATGATCATAACATGATCAAGTTCAGTATAGTGGTTGAAAGCAAAAAGCGTGTATCAGTTACTAGAGTTAAGTTTAGGTAAGGCCAATTCAAAGAGATGAGGGGCAATTTGATAGCAGTTTACCAAATTATGAGAAGTGTGAATAGAATGGATAGTCAGAGTCTTTACCCAGGGTAGAATTGTCAATTATTACCGTACATTGGTTCAAAGTAAAAGGGGAAAAGTTTAAAGGAGATGTGAGAGGCAAGTTTTTTACACAGAAAAAGGTCAGAAGAATGATACCTAGATTTCAGGGGTTAGGTTATGACGAGAAATCACACAAATTAGGCTTGTTTTCTGTAGAATGCGGAAGGTTAAGGGGTGATCTGATCAAAGTCCTGAAGATATTAACAGGAAAGGTCAGGTTAAACAAAGATAAAATATTTCCACTGGTTGGGGATTCTAGAACTAGGCATAGTCTGAGAATTAGGGCCAGACCATTTAGGGACAATGTTAGGATGCACTTCTACACACAAACGGTGGGAGAGTTTTGGAACTCTCTTCGACAAGAACAGTGGATGTTGAATCAGTTGTTAATTTTAAATCTGAGAGAGATAAGTTTTTGTTAAGCAAAGGTATTAAGGGCTTTGGGCAACAGGCAGGTAGATGGAGTTAGGTATGATCTCATTAAGCAAAGAACAAAAGAAAAGTATGGCAGGCCCTCCAAGCCTGTGCCGATCATCATGCCCTAACTAAACTAAAAAACAAACCCTCTGCCCTTATTCAGTCCATATCCCTCTATTCCCTCCCTATTCATGTCACCATCCAGATGCCTCTTAAATGTTGCCAATGTGCCTGCTTCCACCACCTCCTCTGGCAGTGATTTCCAGGCTCCTACCACTCTCTGTGTGAAAAACTTTCCTCTCACATCTCCCGTAAACTTTAACCCTCTCACCTTGAACCTGTGCCCCCTTGTAATTGAAACTTCAACCCTGGGAAAAAGCCTCTGACTACCCAGTCTATCTATGTCTCTTGTAATTTTACAGACCTCTATCAGGTATCCTCTCAGCCGCCGTCTTTCCAGTGAAAACAATCCTAGCCTTTTTAACCTTTCCTCATAGCTAATGCCCTCGAAACCATCCAACATCCTGGTGAACCTTCTCTACACTGTCTCCAAAGCTTCCATCTCCTTTTGGCAATGTGGCAACCAAAACTGCACACCATACTCCAAATGTGGCCTAACAAGGGTTTTATAATCGCTGCAATATGGTTTGCAAACTTTCGTACTCCATTCCCCAGCCAATGAAGTCAAGCATGCCATATGCCTTCTTAATCACCTTGGCCACCTGTGTTGCCACTTTTAGGGAACTGTGGGCCTGCACGCCCAGATCCATCTGTACATTAATGTTCCTAAGGGTTCTGCCATTTACGATATAATTCATACCTAAATTTGGTCCTCCAAAATGCATCACTTCACATTTGCCTGGATTAAACTCCACCTGCCATTTCTGTGCCCAAGTCACCAATCTCTCTACATCCTGCTGTAACCTTTCACAATCGTCAGCACTATCAGCAACTCCACCAATCTTCGTGTCATCTGCAAACTTAATAATCAGACCACACACATTTTCCTCCAGATCATTTATATATACTACAAACAACAGAGGACCTAAATCTGATTCCTGTGGAACACCACTAGTTACCGGTCTCCATTCTGAAAAACACCCTTCCACTGCTACCCTCTGTCTTCTATGACCAAGCCAGTTTTGTATTCTTCTAGCCAGCCCACCCCGAATCCCATGTGATTTTAGTTATTGAACCAATCTGCCATGTGGTACTTTATCAAATGCCTGAATTTGAATGCTGGAACAGTCTTGAGGGGCTGAATGGCCTACTCCTGTTGCTGCGTTCCTAGTTTATGTTCACTGCTTCATCAGCGATCTTTTATGTTGAGATTTTTACTCTACTTCATCACACATAACCAGATACACAATAGCCTGATCTCTGGCTGGATCCACAATATATTGTCCTCACAAGCTGTCCTGAAAGCATTCAATTAATTCTTCTTTACGGCTTCCTCTGCCAGTCTGACTATCCCAATCTACCTGACAATGAAAGTCACCCATGATTAATGTATTGTCTTGGTTACATGTCCTCATTATCTCCTGATTTATCCTCTTCCACCATACAGCTCCTGTTACGGGCCAATAGAGTATTCCTACCTGTGTCTCCATTTCCTTTCTATTTTTTCCCTCCACCCAGGTGGATCCTACATCTTCTGGTTCAAGATCATTTCTTCCTATTGTACTAACAGTGCCACCCCACCACCTTTCCTTCCTGTCTGGCCTTTTGAAAATTCACATGTTCCTGAATATTTCATTCCCAGCTTTGATCTCCTTGTAGCCATTTCTCTGTAATGGCTACAGGATCATCTCCATTAACCTGCATTTGTGCAGTTAAATCATTTATTTTGTTCTAAATACCATGCAAATACCACATGCTTTCAATGAAGCTTTTTTTAAATAAATTATCCCGCTTTGAGCCTACCTCCTGCCGTACAAATATCATACTTACTTGCCTCTTTCCCTGCACTAGTGTGACGTTGAGGTTAATGATGTCTCTATGTGGATCAGCCTCTCGGTCCACACTTCTATCCTCTCCCATTCCCCTCTTGCTTGGAGAGTTTACTTCTCACAATGAAACCCAGTTAAAGCAATTGTGTCACCCTTCGCACTGAATTCCCAATTCAACCAAATATCCAACAATATATTCTACTCGACTTTCTTCAGAACTGAAAGGTGTTGGAAAATAGGTTTCTTTCATACTTTGGACAAAGGCAGGGAAGGAGCAAGAAAGCTGAGGTACATCTGAAGTAAAGCTCGGAAGACAACACAATTATCTGAGATAACAAGGTGTAGAGCTGGATGAACACAGCAGGCCGAGCAGCATCAAAGGAGCAGGAAGGCTGATGTTTCGGGCCTAGACCCTTTTCTCTGAAACAATTATCTGCGGTGAATGTGACAGTAAATACAGATCCAACACAAAGAGGTTGTTAACAGTGGAGAAACAGAAACAAGAGACATTAAACGGATGGAAATGAAGGTATGAACAGAAGAGAATGCGTCCTTTCTGCTCTGTCCAAAGTAAACAAAACACAAATACAACATGGCTCAGTGTACAGGGAGGGTGTAGGAGGGGAAGAGGGGAGAATACAAGAAAATTGGAGAACAGACATAAAGCAGTCAGTTCCTAAAGGCATTGAATCCAATGTTGAGGCCCGTTCAACTCTCAGATGATCAGTACTGAGGGAGCACCGCACTGTTGGAGGGACAGCGCTGAGGTAGTGCCGCACTGTTGCAGGGTCAGTACTGAGGGAGCACCGCACTGTCGGAGGGTCAGTGCTGGGGGAGCACCGCACTGTCAAGGGTCAGTACTGAGGCAGCGCCGCACTGTCGGAGGGTCAGTGCTGAGGGAGTGCCGCACTGTTGGAGGGTCAGTGCTGGGGGAGCGCCGCACTGTCAGAGGATCAGTGCTGAGGGAGCGCTGCACTGTCGGAGTGTCAGTGCTGAGGGAGCGCCGCACTGTCGGAGGGTCAGTGCTGGGGGAGCGCCGCACTGTCAGAGGGTCAGTGCTGAGGGAGTGCCGCACTGTCAGAGGGTCAGTACTGAGGGAGTGAGCGCTCTCGGAGGGTCAGTGCTGAGGGAGTGAGCACAGTCGGAGGGTCAGTGCTGAGGGAGCGCCGCACTGTCAGAGGGTCAGTACTGAAAGAGTGAGCGCTGTCGGAGGGTCAGTGCTGAGGGAGTGAGCGCTGTCGGAGGGTCAGTGCTGAGGGAGTGAGCGCTGTCGGAGGGTCAGTAACTCTCCTGCAGCAGGAGGGTGGATTCTGGCTGGGATTGTTGTGTAAATCTGTTCTGCAGACAAGGAGCTTTTCAGATCTGTTAAAATCAAAATGCTCCCACGTTTAGTTGACAGATTAATGGATAAAATCCGGCAGCTAAGCCTGCTAAAATCAGCAGTGAAACCCAACAGGCAGGCTTGTAAAAAGCTGAGTTTGCCTGTGGTTCTGAAAGTGGAGATAGAGCAGAGGTGGTGCTGTCTGTGGAGGCAGTGTCTCAATTTCCGTATGGTCTGCCAGCCCAGACAGGTCTCCCACAATACTGTGCATTTTACTTCCCAAAACTCCCAGCCGGAAGATTAAAAACAGAGAGGGGAATAGAGAGTGGAGTGAACTGGCTGGTAGACTAACGTAGAGAGAGAGCAATCGAGAGAAAGCAAAGGACTGAAAAGTGGAGAGAGATAGACGGATTGGGAAAGGGAGAGGGTAGAAAGAGGGACTGTCATCTCCTCCATGTGCTCCGGGAATACAGGGTCAGATTTGCCACGATACCTGAAATTCCTGGCGTTTGGAAAGTGAAAGGGCAGATTATTGAACAGAGGCGGACTCTGATGGCTGCAGAGTGAATGGGTTTCAGAAACTGGGACAGGGTGCTCTGCATGAGGGGAGGGCAGCCCTCACTCAGATAGGGACAGGGGATAGAGTAAGGCAGCACTGAGGCATGGCCGGCTCTGGGGACTGGGCACATGAGTGGAGCAGGATTGAGAGCACTATCCGGGGGAGTTTCCGCCAGCTCCGGGAGAGGTACCTGCGGAGACCCAGGGCTCGGAATGAGGAGCAAACCCTTTCCCAGGGAGAATCGGAGCAGGGAACCGGGAACACCCTGCACAAGCTGCCGGTGAGAACTGTCACAGAGCCCCGACCCTCGTCCTTACACATCCCCTCCGACCCGGCCAGCCAGCAGGCAATTCATTCCCCGTGTTTAGACTGGGTGCTGACTCCACATCCCTGAGCCATAACTCCTAACATCTGTTTCCTTTCCAACAAACAAACTCCTTGCAAACATTTGTTTGAATTCTCCGCAGGATTTAAAGCTGCTAAATCCCTCTCGATCTCCACCTCATCAAACACTCCCAGGGCAGGGACAGCACGGGGTTAGATACAGAGTGAAGCTCCCTCTACACTGTCCCCCATCAAACACTCCCAGGGCAGGGACAGCACGGGGTTA